GCTCTCCCCAACCTCTGTAAATCTGTGTGTGTGTGTGTGTGTGTGTGTGTGTGCATGCATGTGCACCTGCATGTGTGCCAGTACTGTAGCTTGAACTCAGGATCTGAGCATTGTTCCTGAGCTTTTGTGTTCAATGGTGGCACTCTAATACTTGGTCTACAGTTCCACTTCTGGGTTTTTGAGCATTAATTGGAGATGAGTCTCACAGACTTTCCTGCATGGGTTGGCTTTAAGCCTTGGTTTTCAGATTGCAGCCTCCTGAGTAGCTAGGATTACAGATGTGAGCCACTGGCACCCAGATGTACTTGCTGGTTTTGTTTCGTTTGTTTGTTGTGGGTCATGAGGTTTGAACTCAGGGCCTAGGCGCTGTCCCTGAGTTCTTTCGCTTAAGGCTAGCCCTCTACCACTTTCATCCTTAGTGCTACTTCTGGTTTTCTGGTGGTTAATTGGAGAAAAGAATCTCTTGCCAGGCTGGCTTTGGACCGTGATCTTCAGATCTCAGCCTCCAGAGTAGCTAGGATGACAGGCTTGAGCCACCACACTGCCTGGCTGCACCTGCTGTTTTTTTTGTTTTTTTTTTGGGTCCGGTCGTGGGGCCTGAACTCTGGGCCTGGGCGCTGTCCCTCAGCTCTTCAGCTCAAGGCTAGCGCTCTACCACTTGAGCCACAGGGCCACTTCCAGCTTTTTTCTTTTTGCTTATGTGGTGCTGAGGAATGGAACCCAGGGCCTCAGGCATGCAAGGCAAGCGCTCTACCACTGAGCCACCTTCCCAGCCCCACCTGCTGTTTCTTAACAGACTTCTTTCTGGTTGGTTCCTTCTGGCCCTACAGGAGCCAATCCAAGCATCAACTCCTTACGGAAGCCCCGCCCCACTCACTTCCTTGGGTTCCTTCACAGCCTGGACTGTCCTTCTGAGATTTCCTGCTTCAAGCATGTCTCCATTTGCCTATAGCCCTGTGGACTCTAAGCTGCTAGAGGAGGCAGCCTGAATGCCTCCATTAACCATGGACAACTAAGCCCCAGAACAGGAGGAGCAGGGAGATATTGGATGGAGGATGCAGGATGGATGGGTGTTGGAGAAAATGGGATCATGAGACTTGGAGATATTAAAGGGACTTTCGCAGCCTACTCAGACCCTGCAGAACCCAGAAACCGCAAGCACAGCTGAGTCCCCATGGCCCGCCATTCTAGACACTGGCTGCTGGGCCTGGCATCATCCCCTGCCACTCATCTACCGTGGGCCCTCGGACAAGGTGTTTAAGCTCTCTGAGCCACGTCTGAGGGCATGCCCAGCGCCCTCTAGTGGATTCTGTGAAGTCATGCAGATTCAGGGGGGTGCTTTAACACCTGCTAATGATCTGCAGCAGCTGTGGTTATTGTCATCGCGGCTCGGGGCCCTTCCTGGTTCAAGGTCCAGCAGAGAGAGGCCCCCTCGAGTCCTGTGCTTCCCCAAGCTGGTCATCTGGGTGTGCCAAACGCGTCCCCCCTGCTGGTCAGACAGGTTTGGGGGAGGGCAGGTGGGGGGTAGAGTCTGGGGTGGGGCAGGCCAGGGTTGGGCAGGCCAGGGTTAATTAGAGGGAACTGAAGAGAGGGGCTGGGCAGAAGCTGGGGTGCAGAGCCCCAGGACGCCCCAGGTGTGTGAGGCCATGGGCCGCGGCTTAAATTCTGCCCGGCTTAGGCGCCAAAAACGGCGCATGCGACCTCGGGCGCAGAAGCTGAGGCGGCAGCCTGAGGTGCGTAGGGGTCCGGGCGCCCCACTTCCATCGTTATCTAGACCTTCTCTCTACTGCTCTGCCTCTGATCCTTCCGGGTTGCCGTCTCTCCCCCTCTGTTTCCTGTCTGTGTGGCACGGGCTGTGATCTGACCCCGCTCTGTCCCCCGCGCAGCGGCTGCAGCAGGAGAACCACGAGCTCCGCCGGGGCCTGGCCGCGCGCGGCGCCGAGTGGGAGGCCCGGGCCGTGGAGCTGGAGGGGGACGTGGAGGCGCTGAGGGCCCAGCTGGGGGAGCAGCGGTCGGAGCAGCAGGACAGCGGGCGCGAGCGCGCACGGGCCCTGGGCGAGCTCAGCGAGCAGAACCTCCGGCTCAGCCAGCAGCTGGCGCAGGTGGGCCGGCCTCACCCCGAGGACGGGGCTGGCATCTGGGCCCAGCGGAGCCGGGGTCAGTGGTTGAGGCAGGAATCAGCCCAAGGCTCTGCTGCTCACCCCCACCCCCCACCCCGGTCCCCAGGCCTCGCAGACGGAGCAGGAGCTTCAGAGAGAACTCGATGCCCTCCGAGGGCAGTGCCAGGGGCAGGCCCTGGCTGGGGCGGAGCTGAGGACGCGGCTGGAGAGCCTGCAGGCAGAGGTGAGCGGGGGCTGGGGCTGCAGGTGAGAGTTAAGGGTTGGAGGTCTTGTCTGAACCAGAAGCAGCCGGGCCGGGCTGGTGTGAGTGAGGTTCGGTTGTGCCCCGCGCAGGGTCAGCTCTGAGGCCTCTCTCTCCAGAACCAGATGCTGCAGAGCCGCCGGCAGGACCTGGAGGCCCAGATCCGAGGCCTGCGCGACGAGGCGGACAGGGACCAGGGCCGGCTGCAGGCCAGCCACGAGGAGCTGCTGCTGCTGAGGCGGGAGAGGAAGGAGAGCAGCCTGGAGGTGACCACGGGGAAGGGGCGCAGCAAGCGGGGTCCTTGGAAATGGCCGTGGGCGCTCTGGGGAATGGGCACTGACTAGAACGGCCAGCCTGGAGCAAGCACGAGCTACAGAAGCCTGCTGGGGGTGTGTGGGGGGTGATCTGCTCTCTCACAGCCTAGCAGCTGGGAGGCCAGGGAAGGGCCCAGGGCCCAAGAGCTCAGACAAGGAGACACCCGTCAGGGCGCGTCCCAGGCCGTGGACGTGGAGAGAGGGATTGAAAGGAGGAAGCTGCCCCTGATGTTTGAGCTCCTGGCAGGCTGCTTCCTAAGCTGCTTGGCTTCTGACTGTCGTGGGGTGCCTCCCCTCCTGTCCCCCTGTGTGAGTTGCGATGGCCTCGCTGCCAGCTTCTCGGGGCTGTGGTGAGGGCGCGAGGCTGGGAAGGAGAGGACAGTCACCCAGGATCAAAGTCATGAATGAGAGGAGGTAGGCGGCGGGCGAGGGGCCCCGCCCGGGGAGGTGAGCGATGGGTGGGGCCGGGATGCTTTGGAGGTGAGGACATCGGGGCCTGGGAGGGAGATCGCGGCGGGGTGCGGGCGCCCCTGACCCCGCGCCCCCGTGCGGCCCGGCAGCTGGACCGCGCGCGCGCCGAGGCCGCAGAGGCGCTGGGCGCGCTCCGCAGGCTGCAGCGGCGCGTGTCGGAGCTGGAGGAGGAGGCCCGTCTCCAGGACGCCGACGTGTCGGGCGCCTCGCTGCAGTCGGAGCTCGCCCACAGCCTCCACGGCCCCCAGGCCCCGGACGCCGAAGCTTCCGGAGACGGCCAGGTAGGCGGGAGGCTCCCCAGCGGGCGGCGCGGCCCCTCCTCCTCCTCTTCCCACCTCCCGACTCACCCGTGGGGCCCGCAGGCCACCCCGGCCCTGGATGCTCAGGCGGGGTCCAGCCCCCAGACTGCACCCCAGGAAGAGAGCTTGGAACCCCCCAAGAAGCGAGCGCCCTTGAGCCCCGGGGAAATACTGGAGCGGAAGGAGGCGGAGGTGGCCAGGCTGCAGGATGAGGTAGGAGCGCGCGGGCCGGACGTCCCGTGGGTCCCCCTCCGCCCGGCCCCTCTAGGGCTTCCCGGGCCCCACTCCAGGCTCCGACCCCGCTGGGGCTGGGGGGGGCTCGGCGCGGCCCCGTCTTCCCGCCGCCCCTGCCCTGCCCGCAGGTCGCACTGCGGGGCGCAGAGCTGCAGACCCTGCGGGAGGAGCTGCGGCGGCAGAAGGAGCTGCGCGCGCAGGGCGACCTCGGGGAGGCTCTCCGCGGCGCGCTGTCCGACCGGGACGAGGCGGTGAACAAGTGAGCCTCTGCCGTCCCCCTCCGCCCCCGCCGGGTCCCGAACCCGCCTCCCCCGCCCCCTCCGACCGGCTCTCCGCCCCTGCCGCCCGCAGGGCGCAGGAGCTGTCCCTGGAGCTGAGCCGCGTCTCGCTGGAGCGGGACTCGCTGTCCCGGGAGCTGATGCGCGCCATCCGCCAGAAGGTGGCGCTGACGCAGGAGCTTGAGGCTTGGCAGGTGAGAGCGGTGCCGGGGGCGGGGCGTGACGACGGGGAGGGGCGTGTCCATGCAAATGAACGCGCCCCGAGGGGCGGGGCCTCGTCCTGACGCAGCCCGGCCCCACCCCCTCCCGCCTCCAGGACGATATGCAGGTGGTGATCGGTCAGCAGCTGCGCTCCCAGCGCCAGAAGGAGCTGAGCGCCGCGGCCCCACGCCGAGCCACGACCCGCTTCTCGCTGCGCCTGGGCCAGGGGCAGGCCGGTGGCTTCCTTAGTAACCTCTTCCGAAGGACCTGAGGGCTGGACCGCCGTGATTGCCAGTCCTGGGCTCACTCTAATGGCCGATGGAGCCACAAGGCGCAGATGATTGCCAGGCGGTGCCCTCCCCTCCCCAGGAGGCGGATAGGGGCTCTTTGGGAACAGGGGCCAGCTTTAGGGCTGAGGCCCAGGTGGGTGGCGGAAGCAGTGGGGGCAGAGCTATTCCTCGAATCTCTATAGGTCTATCTTTTGTAAGTACTAAGCCCCTGCTCTGGCCTGCTCTGGGAGTAGGTGTGGGAGTGGGTATTTATGTATCGATTAAGGTTGGACAGAGTAATATATAAATCACTGCAACAATTTAAGTCTTCGTTTTTGGGAAATCTAAAACTTTATTGTAAAAAAATAGATGAAGCTGGGTGCCAGTGGCTCAAGCCTATAATCCTGGCTGCTCAGGAGGCTGAGATCTGAGGATCATGGTTCAAAGCCAGCCATGGTAGGAAAGTCCATGAGACTCTTATCTCCAATAAACCACTCAAAACCAGAAGTGGTGGTATGGCTCAAGTGATAGAACACTAGCCTTGAGCTGAAGTGGTGAGGGACAGTGCCCAGGCCCAGAGTTCAAGCCCCACGTCCCTCAGCCTGAGTTCCAAGCCCCATGACAGAAAAAGAAAAAAAGAAAACACTCCTAAGCCGCTGGGGGCAGGTATGTGATGTCAGAAAGTCAAGGAGAAGGCTCGGTAGCCCAGGTTGGTGAAGACATCCACCCGGCAGCTGTTGCCCGCAGCAGTCAGCACCTGAGAGCAAAAGAGGTGTGACTGGCCTGCCCACACTCAACCCCCCTGGGATCCCCAGCTCCAGACAAGCCTCACCTTGCACTCGGGTGCTGCCGGCTGTTGGTTGAGGCTGAGGCTGAGAAGCCCCGGGGAGGAGCCAGGCACCTGGGCCTTAAGCTCTCCACTCAGTTGCCACTGGTTGACACAACGGCCCTGGCCAGCGGAGAGAATCTGCAGAACAGGGAGGGGGTCAGGGTCAGGGCGGAGAGGGGAGCCAGGCAAGGGTGGCAGATGCAAGGCAGAGGGCCTCACCAGGTCCTGGTAGAAGGTGACGTGTTTCTGTGGTGCCCGCATGGGGAAGATGGTGGTAGGTGTGGAAGATCGGAGGTGCCAGAGAGTGAGGGCTGGACCCCCTCCACAAACCTGGGCGCAAAGTGAGGGGTCCCCAGCCATAATGAGCCAGGAGCCCTCACTGAAGAGGGCCCAGAGCTGCTCCCACACCACACACCCTGCCCAGCTCACCATCCAGTCTGAATCTGTCGCCAGGCATCCAATCCAGCGCCCGTTGTGGGGTCTTGAGCACTCCTGGGATGGAAGAGTGGAAAGATGAGGAGAGCTTGGGGATATGACCGACAGTGCGGTGGGGACTGTGTCCTTACCTCATGCTTGTAGACCTCGATGGTCTGCACCTCTTTGGCTGTGCGGAGGTCTGTGGGTAAAAAGCCAAGGTTCCTGGTGAGCCACGTGGATCGCAGCCTCTCTCTTATCCTGATGTTGCCCTCTTAACTAGCCATCCTCTTACCCCAAAGACGCACAGCCCCATCCTCGCCCCCTGACAGCACCTCGGGGCTTCGTTCCCGCAGTGCCAGGCAGTGGATATAGTCGGTGTGGCCCCGTAGGGCCCGCTGAAGGGAAAGAGACCGGGTCAGAATGAGGACGACCCGTGAGTTCCTCTGGGGTAGATTTCCCCAGCTCCAGAGCCCTGCTCACCGTGAAGGTCCCCGTTTCAAGATCCATGGTGTGCAGCAGACAATCTCCCCCAGCCAGAATGAGGGAGTTCTCCTACCATGGAAGGCAGAGTGGGGCAGAAAGTCAGCATCAAATTAAGATGGGCAGAGCGGGAAAGATCAAGGTTTGGGTCACGAAGGGTTTAGACCTTGGGGATGAGCAGCAAGGCATTGATCTCAGGCACTTCCAGGCTGGTCCTGGGGAGGATGGGAAGGGGGACATCAGGGGCAGTGCTCTCCCAGCATGCCCTCCACCTGTGGGTCTTGACCCGTGACTCACCTGTATGGGGGCTGGCGACGCCACAGCTCTTTACAGCCCTTCATAGAAGGAAAGTAGTGGAAACACCAAGTGAACTCAAGTAAACTTCAGACAGGGCAGCCCAGTCCTTCTCCAGGCTCTAGACTCCTTACCTTCTTGAGAATCTCTGCCCAAAGCCATGCCTTCACCTCTCCATCCCCAGCACTGAGCAGATGTCTTTCAGTGGAGACCATGCTGTAGACGGGCCCATCATGGGCTAAAGGAAACAGAACTGGCGTGAACCTATCCAGTCTCTGACTCCATCTCCTAAGCCAGATTCAACAGCTATACGCACCTTGGAAGGTCACCACAGGCTTTTTGCTTTCCTCTTTGGCCTCTGAACTCAAAGCAGCAGACAAGCTGATGCAAAGAGATGAAGCAAGGGGAAGTCAGAGGTCAGAAGCAGGAAGCGCCAGTCCCAAGAATATCCAACGCTTAGGGAACAAAGGAAATGAAAATCAAGGCCCCAGGGTACCTGAAGATAGCGATCTGCCCATAATTGTTGCCAGCTGCCAGGAACTTCCCACAGGGCGAGATGCTCTGAGAGAAGATGGTCATGTGCAGCCGCTGCAGGGCCTGAAACACCTCTGTCTGTTGGGAGAGGCTGGATGAGGCCAGACTGGGGGGTCTAAGACCGCTGCCCAGACTCCTGTCCCTGAGTTCCCTGCCATAGGCCTGGCTTCCTAGCCTCTCATACCCAGACTCCTCAGCCTTCTGAGGTGGCTCCCCGACCCACACACTGGTGCCTGCCCCTGTTATCCCATTGGTGTCTCCAAGAAGAGGGTGAGGTGAGAACTGAGGCGCGATGCCTAATGGAACCCTAGAGCAGGCATCGAGGGGAGGCCCTCAGGTTCCAGAATGGTCAGATGCTCACAGACAATTCCATAAGTGTATGTAAAAAGCTGTACAAAGAGCTTTCATGTAGGAAACGGTTAATAAGTGCTCTTGGGGCTGGGGGAGGGCAGCGCTGTGGCTGGGCACATGCTTAGCATAGGCTAGGCTCTGGGTTCCACACAAAGTATCACCCCCCCAAAAAAAGAAGAAAAAAGACTCCGTATTGTTAGTATGTGTCAAGCTTTTTTAAAAAAGTGGCTCTAACACATGCTGACGTTTAATCCCTGCCTCCTGACTTTCACGTTAGGCTCCGAGCTCTCCTGGTATAAGGCCCTCGAGCCGTCCCCACACCATTCCCGGCCCACCCCGTCGGAGCCAGCACGGACGGACTACAAACCCCACAAGGTACCGCGCGCAGCCCCGACTCACCTGACCCAGAGGAGCCGCGAGCAGCGAAGCGCGCTCCATCCCCACAAGAACTACAAGTCCCAGGTTGCTCTGCGAGCGGCTCAGCCGGAGGATTCCGGACGTGCCCACGAGTGGCTCTTCGCGGCCCGCTCAAAACGGCCGGCCGGCCCGGCGCGAAGGCCGCCGCTAGTCCTTCCCGGCACCCCCAGGAACCGAGGGGGACGCCAACCAGCCCCCTACACTGAGAAGTGCCGCCCGCGGTGGCTCCCTACGCCGAGTCCCCTCCCCCACCCCGCCGAGCCAACCCGCTCTCCAGCCGCGCGCCGCTCCTCTTCCGCGCCTGCGCAGAACCTCACCACCGCGCGCGCGCGCGCGCACCTCAGGCCGCACCTCCCGCGTCGGGCCACGCCCTCCGAGGCTCCGCCCCCGACGCCCGGATCCCACCCCTCTGTCCGCAGGACCCCGAGCCCTAATGATCCTGCAGCAGCCTCTGGAACGAGGCCCCCCGGGCCGGGCCTTGCGCGACGCGCGGGCTGTCCCGGGGCTGACGCGGAGCCTGGAAGCCAGGTGCGTGTAGGGGCTGAGGGCGATCAGGGGCTCAGGCGCGTTGGCTGGAGACCCCGGGCTGGCCTGCAGGATGACACCAGATGCGGCGAGCCGCGGGGCTCGGGCTGGAGCTGGGGCCCGCCACGAGGGGGGGCTGCTGGCGAGCTCTGGCGAGGGCTCGCTCAAGGTAGCACGCACACACAGGCCCGGGCTGGGGGCCCCCACTCACGCTGTACAGGCTCCGGTGGGCAGGTCCCCAGGAAGGGGCCAAAAGGGTGGGGTGCACCTGGCTCTCTCTTTTTCCCAGCTCCCCTCTCCGAGGAGCTGTGCCCCTGAGCACCAAACGGCGCCTGAAGGAGGAGCAGTGAGTTTGGGGGCAGGGAGGACTCCCGAGATCTGTCACCTCCGGCCTCCATCAGACCTCGGCCTTCCCCTTCTCAATATTTCTGCCTGCCTTCCCCTGTGTCTTTCCCCAGGGAGCCCTTGCGCAAGCAGTTCCTTTCTGAGGAGAACATGGCCACCCACTTCTCTCGACTGAGCCTACATAATGACCACCCCTACTGCAGCCCCCCCTCGGCCTTCCCGCCAGCCCGGCCCCCGCTCAGGTAGGCACCTCCGCCCGCCAGGACTTTTGGAGGACCACACTTGGGCCCAAGAGCCAGTGCTCACCATGGCCTGCCTCATGGGGCTATTTTTAGCTTCCAGACTAACTTGTGTGCTGTTTCCCATCGTGGCCTCGGGACTTGGACCTTCAGGGTCCTGCCAAGACAGCTATCAGCCGCATGCCCTGACTATCGAAATATTTCCTTTTCCAGAAGCCCTTGCTCCGAGCTGCTTCTCTGGCGCTACCCTGGGAGCCTGATTCCCGAGGCCCTCCGGCTGCTGAGGCTGGGGGGTACTACCGGTCCCCACTACCCTGCAACGCCAACTGGGGACACAATGGAGCTCTGAGCCCTGCTGCCCGTGTACCTTCCCACCTGCTTCCTGCCCCACCACCGCAGAGACAAGCAGCCCCCCTGAGAGACAAGGAGCTGGTCTCTCCTCCTCCAGACCACGTGCCAGGGCATCAGGACCTTTCCAATAGCGGACCCAGAGCTCCATGGGTGGGAGGGGCAGAGCAAGGGAAGATGGGTACTAAATGAATAAAGATTGCTGAACAGTTGAAGGTTTGATTCAGTCTGGAACTCCAGGCCTTGGTGGAGGGTGGGGTGCTGGATGCTGGGGGGGGGGTTCTCCACAAGATTTTCCCTGGAAAACGGTCGGGGCAGGCCAAGTCCTGGCAGGCTGGGCTCCAGGCATTGAGAATGTGTGAGTCAGAGCCCCGCCCCCGCCCCCGCGGTGACTCACTCCCCCCCAGCTTTGAGAAGTCAAGCTGGGGATCAAGCCAGTGCTCTAACCATTTACAGTTAAAGATTCTTTTATTAATAAATTCTCCTCTCCAAAGTTTCTCCCCCAAAATAAATATCTCCTCCCCCCCCTGGGGGATGGGGGAGGATTTACATGAGGACCTGCCCTCATGGAGGGCCAGCCCCTAGCTAAGAACAGGCTCCTAACCCCCACCCCCACGCCGGGGCTGAGCCGCGGTGGTGGAATTTCAGTCCATTGAGTGCCTAGTAGTGTCTGCCCTTGGAGTGAGCCGGGGCAGTGGGGGAAGGAGACCCCCGTGTGCAAGTACTGCAGTTTCTTTGTATGAGGCAGCATGAGGCTCCTTCTCTGTCTAGGAGCCAGACAGGGCAATCAGACACCCCAGAAAGGCTCCTCGGAGCCCTGGCTCAGGCCTGGGAGGTGATTCATCACCCCCACCCCACCCCCTGTGGTTGGAAGAGCCTGGCTCAGGCTGTGTCTGGGTGGCCAAGGCCAGCTCCAAAATGAATGAATGACGAGTGGGCACCGCGCCGGTAGATGGGTCACTGGATCAGTGCCACACCGGGACAGCCCTCTCCACCGGTCTCCTCGATGGGGGCTGCAAGGTGAAAAAAGAAGGACGGGGTCACCGCCGGCAGGGGGTAGAGTGGGGGGCTGTCATGGGCGGACCGACCCGCAGGGGCAAACTTACTGGTAAACTTCTCTCTCCTGCGGCACCGTCTCCAGACCAGAAAGCCGGAAAGCAGGGCCAGCACCAGCGCCAGGCTGAGGGCGCCCCCCAGGATGGGCCAAAGCAACCGGAAGGGAGCGGGGGGTGCGGCTGCACCTAGGGGCCGGACCCGCAGTCAGCGCTCCTCACCAGGCCTTGCCCCCCCACCGTGACCCCCCCTTCCCGCCCCGGGGTCCAGGCCCCCCCACACTCACAGCCCGGGCAGAAGTCGCTGTGCGGCCGCGCCGGGCACGAGGCGCAGTCCATGCACTTGTCCAGGTCGGCGCTCCAGGAGCTGCCGCGCGCGCAGGGGGCGGCGCCTGGGGAGGGGGCCGGGGTCAGGGCGGCCCGCGTCTATTCTCAGGGCTGAGGTCAGGGTCGGTCGGCTCGAATAACGTGAGTCACCGGCGCCCTCCCCGCCGCATTCCTCACAGGTGACCGCACGGCCAGACCGGGACACGGCCGTGCGGAGTGCGGCGCGGGGCCGGGGGGGCTGGGTCCCCGCCCCCCTCCCGCCGCCGGCGGGTGAGTCACGCCCGGGCACCGGGCCCGACCGGGTCCCTCCCCCCACATAGCTGGGCACTGAAGTCACCGGATGGAAGGGGGCACCCCGCGGGGCAGAGGGCACAGACCCCCCCCCGGGCCTGCCGACGCCCCTCCAAGTCCCGGGTCCCGCGGGCCGGGCGGACCCCGGGGGACCGGGCGGGGGCGTGGCCTCTGACCGGACCCCGCCAGGCTTCCGGCCCGCTAACTCCACGTCTGGAGCGGGCTCAGGGGACAGATGGCCCCATCAGGCAGGGAAACGGAGGCCGGGACGGCGGGGGAGGCTTGCAGGGGAAGGGGGCCCCGTCCTCTCTCTACCCGAAAGCTCGGTGTGCGGAGACACCCCCCCATTCCGCCCCATCCCGCCTCCCCTCGTCCGCCCGGTCCCGCTCCCGACCCCCGGCGCGGACACCCCGCGTACCCGGCGCCTGTTCCGCGGCCGCGGCGCGCAGCAGCACCAGCCCGAACCCCAGCGCGAAGAGCCGCCGCAGGGCGCCCCGCGGAGCCGCGGCCATCGCTCGTCCTCCGCCGCCGCGGTCTGCACCCGCCGCCCGCCGGCCCGCCGGGCCCTAGGCGGCCGCCCCCGCCTTCCGGGGCGGGGCCTCGCCTCGGCCCGCCCCGGGGCCGGCCCCGCCCCGCCCCCCGCCCCGCCCCCGGGGCCACCCCGGCCCCGCCCTCCGCCTCGGCCCCGCCCTCCGCCCCGCCCCCGGGGCCACCCCGGCCCCGCCCCCGCCCCAGGCCCCGCCCTCCGGCGCTCCGGGGACGTGCGGCCGCGCGCTGCCCGCTCAGCGCAGTCCCTGGGCGCGTCGGTGCGGCCCGGCCCTGCCCGTGCTCCAGTCGGGAGATGGGGAATAAAGAGAGGACCCATGAAGACAGGGTTGTGATTAAGTCTCCATTTATTCGCCACTGATTTCTCTCGATTGCTCCCCTCAGCCTCCTATGTACCCCAGGCTGGTCTCGAACTCGCTACCTCCTGCCTCAGACACCCTGAGTAGTTGAGATGCAGCTTTCTTTTGTCTTCAGTCGGCCCTGGGGTTTGAACTCTGGTCCTCGGCGCTGACCCTGGGCCGTTTTTGCTCAAGGCCAGCACTCTACCACTTGAGCCACAGGGTGATCGGAGGTGAGAGTCAGCCCTGGGGACTGCAGGCGGAGCCTCGGCCCCGGCTGGGTGCGACTTTCTCCAGGGTCCCAAGGGTATTACAAGAACCACAAACGCCCGGCGGCGGCGGCGGCGGCTCCACGATCCGCCGCGTCATCCCGGCTGCTCAGGAGCCGAGGTCTGAGGATGGCGGTTCGAGGCCAGCCCGGGGCGGGAAGGTCCGCGAGACTCTCCGATGAACCACCGGAAAGTGGGAAGCGGCGCTGGGAGCCAGGCGGAGAGGAGCGGCCCCGAGTTCGCGCCCCGGGCCCGGCGCGCGCGCATCCGCACCCAAGCCGCGCGCCCTTGCATTGACACCCGAGGTCCTTCACTCCAAAACTCCGGTCCTCGCCTCGACTGGCGGGCTTGGACACAGGCCCGCGGAGGTTGGGTGAGTTCCCGAGTCGGGCGCCGTCAGGAGGCGTCAGCGGGCCGGGGCCGGGGCAGGTGCGGCCCGCGCGCCCCGCGCGCCCCGGGGCCGAGCCGGGCCGAGCCCCCGCCGAGCCGGCCGCGACCCCGCCAGGGTCTCCGCTCCTCCCCGAGGGAGGTGGTCCCGTGACGTCACGGCGCCTTTAAGCCCCCCGCCTCCGCCCGTCCGCGCACTCCGCCGCGTCCGCTCAGGTGTTGCGCGCAGGTGAGCCCGGGGCGGGCGCGGGCCGCGCGTGGGGGCGGGCGCGGGCTCGGGCGCGGGGAAGGCCCCCGCGGGGTCCCCGCGGCGCCCCGGCTCCCGGCCGCCCGGGTCGCCCAGTCCTCGGGCCGGAGGTCGGCGCTGCACCTGGCCGGGGGGCCCCCGCGCCCCGGGGCGGCTCCGGCCGGTTCCGCGCCCCTCCCCCTCCCCAGGACAAAGGCACCGAAACCCGCTCCCCTCCCCCGCCGGCCGGCCCGGGGAGGGGGGGCGGCGGGCGGGGCCCCGCGGGCCCGGGACCCAGCTGGGCCTCTCCGTCGGGGGTACAGGGAGGTGGGGGGAGGCGAGGGTCCCCCGAGACCATAAGCCCGGCCTCCGGGGCCGGAGGGTAAGAGAGGAGGAAGTCAGGAGCCGCCCACCGGCCACTGCCGGGCTGCCCCGGGCCTAGGCCCAAACCCTTCAGGAAAAGCCAAGGGTAATGGCGGTCTCCAGCGGGCCAGGGGCAGAGCTGGTCCCCTGTCCTCTCCGAAGCCAGGTGGACGGGATGGGGGGCACAGGAGAGACACGGAACACACCCCCGCCAGTTTAGCTTCTCCTGGCAAAGATGTGCCCTGAGACCTTTGGTCTGAAGTGCACAAGCATGCCCCAAACCTTGAGGACCTGTTCCTCGGCCCGGGGCGGAGGCCACGAGCAGCAGGTGGCTTTGAGGAAGGAACTGCTTGGGGGTGAGAGTGTCCCGGTCTCTCCTATCCCTCCAGGCCTGGCTGGCAGGTGCCTCCCAGGTGAGGAACCCAGACACCTGCCTGGTCAGGGAGGAGATGGCTGTGGCGCGCCGGCGGGGCCGTGGTGGGACGCAAGGTGTAGGCGATCGAGAGCGATTCGGTTCGGGCCTTGCCTTGGGTGGGGAGGAAGAGCAGATCTCCACTCTGCCTTTGGGAATGCCACTGTCTTTCCATTCCTTTCTGCTGCTACACGAAGTGAGTTGAAAAGTACCTGTGTCCCCTCACCGCGCTCTGTGAGTGAGTCAGCTTTACGCTATCATCTGTGTCCTTTGATTATTCCCTGGGATAAATCAGTGCCTGTCATTTTACCAGGGGGGCGTTCATTAAAAATGAGGCGTAGAGGATGTTTATCTCCTGTATTCCAAGACAGACAGACAGACAGACTTCAGGATACAAGCTCTTGGTGTCCTGCTGATGGAACCAAAGCTAGCTAGTCGTTTGTTGTCTGGGCCGAACACTTGTTTATTTTTGCGCCCCCCCCCCCCCCCTGCAGCCTCTGCACCTCACCATGGCGTCTTCTGGTCTGCAAATCCTGGGAATTGTCCTGACATTGCTGGGCTGGATAAAGGCCCTGGTGTCCTGCGCCCTGCCCATGTGGAAGGTGACGGCCTTCATCGGCAACAGCATCGTGGTGGCCCAGATCGTGTGGGAGGGGCTGTGGATGTCTTGCGTGGTGCAGAGCACCGGCCAGATGCAGTGTAAGGTGTACGACTCGCTCCTGGCGCTGCCCCAGGACCTGCAGGCCGCCAGGGCCCTCTGCGTCATCACTCTGCTCTTGTCCCTGTTCGGCCTGCTGATCTACCTCGCCGGCGCCAAGTGCACCACCTGTGTGGACGACAAGAACTCCAAGGCCCGTCTGGTGCTGACCTCTGGGATCATCTTTGTCCTCTCAGGCATCCTGACCCTCATCCCAGTCTGCTGGACAGCTCATGCCATCATCCAGGACTTCTATAACCCCCTGGTGGCTGAAGCCCAAAAGCGCGAGCTGGGGGCCTCCCTCTACCTGGGCTGGGCTGCCTCCGGCCTTCTGCTGCTGGGTGGGGGGCTCCTGTGCTGCACGTGCCCCTCGGGAGGGTCCCCGGTTGCCAGCCATTATATGGCCCGCTACTCCACGTCAGCCCCCCATTCCCCGCCTCGGGGGCCCTCTGAGTACCCCACCAAGAATTACGTGTGACCTCCATTGGCCTCTGAGCTCAGCCACCGTGCGATGAGGCCCTCAGCACCTAGGGTGTTGGCTCTTAATACTCTCTGGGTTTGAGTTCTGCTTTTATGGGCAGGGATAATCTTTTTAAACCCACTCGACAATTGAACCAAGACTGGAGAGATCCCCGCCCCCCCTTCTCACCTTTTTTAACTGAACCAAACGGTGCTTTTGAGTTTCTGGCACCGCAGACATCATCACCATCTTGGAAAGCCAAGCAGGAGCGAGCTGTGGGCCCGGCACCAAGGCTGCTTGCAGTTCTGCCTTTGTGGCCACCAGACTGCCTTGTCCCAGCAGCAGCTTCTGCTGCCCCCCCCCAACCGGTAAAGGTGACCACACCCTTTTGCCATCAGGCCTCTCCTCAGGCCTGTTAGAAGAGGCGATCAGTCACCCAAGAACTCTCCACCCCTGGCCCCCAAATCTGGTCACCATGGCCCCATCCTGAGTCAGGTCCTGCTTGTGATATACACCCCCCCCCTCCCCAAACCTTACCTTGACGCACGCATTTCACCCATTCACTACCTACACAAGGTTTTACTAAATAAAGCATTTTTTTTAATACGCCTTTGTTGTGTCTGGGGCTGGATTCTCCACTGGGGAGGTGGTGTGCAGAGGTGATTGACCCTTGTCCTGCCCAGCCTCACCCCGCCTCAGTGAGACCATCTACAGAGTTGGACCTGGAGCCGCAGAGGGAGGGAGGGAGGCTGGTTACAAATGCTCTTTTATTCTGGGGGTGGGGGGGGGTGGGGAGCCGGACAGATGGGCAGCCTGGGCCTCTTGATGGCAGTGGTGTTCTAGTGAATTTCAAGGCAGGGAGGGCAAACAGCTTTTACCCTTTGGGTTAAAAGCCCAGGTTCCCAGGGCCAGAAACTTCCATACAGTTCTGTTCCAGCCACACAGCAGAAGGGGGGGGCAGAGCACCCAAGCTTTCCTGCCTTCAGCACCGGGACCACTGACGCGGTGGCCGAGCCGTGCCAGTCCTGGGTGAGCCTGTGCCGCTTTCCTGGGGAGCAGGGCTGGTAGTAGAAGGAACAGTCGCGTGGAGGCCACGCGGGAGGTTGGGGCTCCTGGAGAAGGCTTCGTCCTCACACGTAGTCCCTCTTGTCCAGCCCTGAGGCCCCTGAGCGCGAGGGGATGGAGTACCCCAGCCTGGGTCCACGGGGCCGCTCAATCTGCGGTGGGGGGCATGTGCAGCACAAGAGCCCCCCACCTAGCATGAGCAGGGCCGCTGCCGCCCAGCCCAGGTAGAGGGAGGCCCCCAGCTCCCTCTTGAGGGCCTCGGCCACCAGAGGGTTGTAGAAGTCCTGGATGATGGCGTGGGCTGTCCAGCAGACCGGGATGAGCACCAGGATGCCCGCCAGGAGGAGGATGACCCCGGCGGTGAGCACGATGCGGGCCTTGGCGCCCTCATCCTCCACGCAGGTGGTGCACTGGGCACCCGTAATGGCCACCAACAGGCCCAGCAGCGCCAGCAGGAGGGCGACCACGCAGAGGGCCCTGGCGGCCTGCAGGTCCTGGGGCAGCGCCAGGAGCGAGTCGTACACCTTACACTGCATCTGGCCGGTGCTCTGCACCACGCAAGACATCCACAGCCCCTCCCACACGACCTGGGCCACCACGATGCTGTTGCCAATGAAGGCCGTCACCTTCCACAGGGGCAGGGCGCAGGACACCAGGGTCCCGAGCCAGCCCAGCACCGCCAGAGTCATGCCCAGAAGCTCAAGGCCAGTCGAAGCCATTTGGGGGGGTTAGATCTTCTCAGCCCCAGGCAGCCTGGTTGACTGGGAGCAGGGGTGACAAGTGCAGGCTGGGGGGCTCTTGGTGCTGGCTTGGGGCCGGGACAGTCCTCACATCTGTGGGCCTCCAGGTATTTGGTACTCACTGAATCCACGCCGGTCTCTAGGTCCTCCTGGGCTGGGTGGCTTGTGTCCGCGTGGGGACCTATCACCCATGGACGGCCCTGGCTAAGTGTCCATGGAGTCACAAGACCCTTCTGGACCCTCCAACCTGCTGTGTGGCCGGGGCGGGCTCCGTCCTTTGTGTTGGCTGGCGCGGGCGCTGGTGCTGGCTGGGCAGCGTGCCCTTTGTGGTGCCACCGGGGCCTCTGTGGCACCTGCTGCAGGTGGCGGGGGTTTTAAGACTCAGGCAGGGGAGGCGTGGAGCAAGGCTGGGGCTGTGATTGGGTGGTAGGACCTGAGGGATGAGGAGGAGGGGCCTCGGGCGCGTGGATTGGGGTGCCCTGAGGGTCAGTGGGGGGGCCCTGAGCTCAGGCAGGGCCAGGGGAAGGAACATCTTGGCTCATAGGAGAAAGGGATGAGCTGAGACACAGGGAAGGCCGGAAGGCAATGAATCGGGTCTGGACGCTGAAGGCGGACAAGGCCTGGGCCTGAACCTGCCCCTGTCCCCTGCCACCTTCGCCCTGTCCCCCACCCCACCCCATTCCATGACGCCCCAGCTTCTGCCGTATTGCACCCCTTCTCGGAGCCCCACCTGGCCCCAGGAGCCTGGAATCTGATCTACCTCCCGTCTCAGCTCAGTGGCCCAGCGGCTCCCGGGAGAGGGCCCCGCCCGCACAGTTCCCCGGGCAACAGGTGCCTGGCGCCCAGCTCGGGTGGCATCGCTCTGGTGACGGCCTAGAAAACTGCACCCCCCCAGCTCAGGTGTGCCTGCCCTTCCCCCACTGCAGAAACTGGGGGGAGGGGGCTGGACTGAGCAGGTAGAGAGGCCAGGAAATGAAGAAACTGTTGTGTGGGGGGGCACACAGGGGCCTGGGGTCAGGAAGGGGGATACAGGGACCCCAGGTCCAGGTGCAGCCTCAGACCTAGCTCTTGGGAAGGCGATGGAGACAGATGGCCTGGATCACTAGGGGAGACCCTCTGGGAAGCTGTAACTCCCCTGCAGGGCGCAGTCTGACAGTCACACAAATCATGGCTCAAGCCCCCAGCCCTCTAGCAGGGAGCATCGTAGAAAGCCAAGGCCCCTTGAAGTGGAGACCCCTTTGAGACCCCTCAAGGTGCTCACAAGCTCCATAGAAACATATTCCCGCAACAGTTCTCATTTTGGGGGTCTGTGAACTTCCCGAGGCCCATTCCTGGTTGCTAAGACCTAGACTAGTGGCGACTATAATTATCTGAAAAGGAACGTGTTTCATGGAGAGGAGGCCCTCAATGGCCCAGCCTGACCTCCAGGCCTCCTCCGGCGAGGGCTGACACGGCCACCACACACCTATGGGGCAGGTCTGAGAGGCACCCCCCACCGTGTACCCCAGGACTTTGTAAAATCTCTGGTTCTGGGATTATTCAGATGGAACCCGGGGATAGGAGCATTGTGTTGGAAGACTTCCCCCACCAAAAATGGGGGGGGGGGGAAGCTTGTCTGGAAGGTGGAGTGGGTTGGGGCATCCTCCACCCCATCTTGAGGCTCCCCACAGGGAGGGGCTCCACCTGAACCTGGGGCTGGCCTGGGGCCCGCCTGGGGCCCATCCCCCAGCCAGGCCAGAGGCGTGGATTGCCTCCTCCAAGGTTGTGTTTGGCCAGCTCATCCAGCTCCTGGGGCTTGGATTTCACAGGTGGTAGGGGAGCGCAGGGGGGCTGAGAAGAAGAGCAAATAGAGCCAGCCTGTCCGTGGGCTTCCCCAGCGACCTTCCAGGGGCTACCAGGAATCCCGCCACACAGGTTTGGGCAGGTGTCTGGCCTGGGAGGCAAAGCCCGGGTCTCTCGAAGGGCCCACCAACACACACACACACACACACACACACACACACACACACACACACACACACACACACACACACACACACACACCGTCGCTGTCCCAACCCGACAGTCTCCCCGCTAGGCTCACACACACACACACACACACACACACACACACACACACACACACACACACACACACACACACACACCGTCGCTGTCCCAACCCGACAGTCTCCCCGCTAGGCTCACAGTGACCTACTCACCCCTCCTGGCCCGTGACATTCCCAGATGGATGTAGCCCGTGTCCCAGGGAAACTGGGACAGGTGCGTGGGCCGGTGTGGGGGGGGGGCTGGGCAGCCCACTAGACCCCCAACATTGTCACCAGGTAGTGGCTGCACACACACAATAAAGCACTGTCCCAAAGAGGGGACCAAAAGACCCCCCTAAACGTGGGGTGCTCACCACACAGAGGCAAAGCAGAAATGGCTACTGTGGCGGGGCGGAACCCACAGGCCACAGGAAGGCGTGTGCTGGGTGATGGGGACCTCTCGCCCGCGGTCACCTCCAGCCAGACTGGCCCTCAGGTGGCCCAAGGCTCGAGTCCGCCAAATGGGGCCCTCAATTTCCCGGGGGCCTGGCTGGGACGGCCTCTCTTTCAGGGTCCTGTCCAGCTTAGCCAGACCTAACCTAGTTAGGTGCTGGGAACCAAAGGGTTAACATAGGGACCTAGCAGGGGAATTGATAGCGTCTGGAATGCCATTGATATGGAGAGGTGGGGCGTGGAGAAGCATTTAGCAATCCCCACCCCTCCCTCCGGGGGCCGGAAAGAGGTGGGGGAGGGAACCCCTCCCCAGAGCGCCAACCTGGTGGGAAATTCGGGGAATAACAAAATAACTTCTCTTTGTGTGGTCTGGGAGGACCGAGGGGCTGGCTGGAAGGAGAAAACAGCTCGCTACCAGCCTGGAGTCAGCCCCTTCTTCTGGAGGGGAAAGTGCGGCCCAGCCCGAGGACAGGGAAGGGTTCTGGGAGCACCCCGGGGCAGCCGGCGCTCGGCCTGCAGGTGCACCGAGGGCCCTGGTTCACCTGAGGAGGAGCAGAGCTCTAACCTCCCAACCCTCTGAAATATTCCGGTGAAGCCCGCAGGCCCTGCTGGCCGCATCCTGAGCTGGGCTGCGGGTGCTGTGGGAACTGGGATTCCCAGCCCGGCTCCCTCGGGTCCCTGGTCTCTGCTGCGGCCCTGTTCCCAGCGGGCCGTGGGGCAAGGCCCCTACCCCAGCAGAGCCTCCCCTCCCCGCTCCATTCTCTCGCGAGTGAACCTGATGGTCAGAGACAGGCCATCTTCACTCTCTCTCTCTGTCTGTATCCCAGGCAGAAAGAGCACAGTGCCCCTGGTTTTCCTTTAGTAGGCAGCAGGCTGGACTCTCACCCAGGACCACCCGGGGCCGGTCACCTGTGCCCAGCGGCAGGTGTCTCTTGGGTGTGGTGGTGGAAGCCCCGCCCCACCCCCGGGCCTCTTTCTTAGGTGAACACCTTACATTTTGGGGAATCACTGTAGGGATGGAGTCAGGCAGGTATTTTGTTAAAATCCTAAGGGCAGTTTCACTTGAAAACATGGACAGGCGCTTGGACTGGGTAACAATTAACTTTATTATCAGTGGTAACCATCAGCTTCCCAGCTTGGGGGTGGGGCTCCGGTTACGGCTGTCTTTTCAGAGGACATTCTTTGTCCCTCCTTGACTGACTGAGCTGAGGGGAGAAGGTGGGCAGGCAGCAGGCCAGCAGGTGGGGAAGGACAGGCACTTCATTTTCTTCTGCTCGTCAGATCAGCAGCCGGGGCTCCTGCCCAAGAAATGGCTCTAGGGGTACCCAAGGTCCCAGCTCAGTGAGGGGCAGGGCCTATGACACCAGAAGCTCTTTTTCCTTCTTTCTTTCCTTCTTTTTCTTTCTTCTGTGTGGGGGGGGGAGGGGTGAATTCAGGGTCTGGGCACTGTCCTTGAGCTTTTGTGCTCAAGGCTAGCACTCTACCACTTGAGCCACTACTCCATTTCTGGCTTTTTTTTGGAGTGAATTGGAGATAAGAGTCTCACAGACTTTCCTGCCCTGGCTGGCTTCAAACCATGATCCTCCAATTTCAGCCTCTTGAGTAGCTGGGATGACAGGGGTGAGCCACGGGCACCTGGCTTCTTTTTCTTTTTCAGGTTGGCCGTGAACTCTTAGAATCTTCCATCTTAGTCTCCTGAATGTCCAGATTACAGGGGAGCACCAGCATGCCCTGTTCACAGGAAATTCTGGGTTGACAGGAAGATGAGCCAGTCCCACACTACCTCTATGGACTGTACGGTGCCCACAATCCAGGTGGACCCTGGGAATGTGACCTCATCTGGTGTAAAATGAAGGCTCTTCAGACAAAATCGGTATGGACGGAGTGTGCCAGGAGCAACGGCAAATGTCCTTGTGAGAGAGAACCAGGGAAAATGGGAGCAGACCCAGAGAAGAAGCCTGTGAGAGGGGCAGAGACCAGAGTGGTGCAGTCACAAGCCAAGGATGGCCCGAAGCCATCAGAAGCCGGGAGACAGGACAGGGCCCTTCCCTAGTACTCACAGAGGAAGCAGAGCCTGCCAAGACTTCACTCTGTATTTCTGACATCCAGAACTGTAAGAGAAAAAAAAATTCTGTTGTCTTAGGCCACTCAGTGCTTGGTTACTGTGGTCACAGAAAACTAATACACTACCCTTCTTGCTGGTGGGTCCCAAGATCTCAGAGGTCCCCCAAGGTCGAGGTTGGCTTCCTGATACTACTCCTGAGCGGCTGCAGAAGAGCCCAGGAGCTGGCATCCGCCTGGTTACCTGAGCCCAGGCCACCAGGGGAACAAAGAGAACTTTATATCGAAGTGTACTGGCTGCACAGAAACTGGCAGTGTGGGGGTGGAAGGCCAGTAAAAAGCTGGAGACAGGAGTTTCCATGGAGGCCCCGGAGCTTTCCTGTCCAAGGGATGACTTCACAGCCATTGGCCCAGTATTGGCTGTCTATCAACGCTCACGAGGCACAGCAGGCCCCAGGATGGATTTCAGTTGAAAAGGAAGGTCAGCGTTTCCCAACATAAGGAGAAAAAGGCCTTCATGACATCCAGACCCTTTGTAAAGGGAAATTAGACGTGTGGGATGCTGGCTGATGCATGCCACCGAAACTGGCATTTTCTTTCCTTTCTTATGGGTCATTGGGTCTTGAACTCTGGGTCTGGGCCCTGTCCCTGAGCTATTTCCACTCAAAGCTAGCACTCTACGGCTTTGGCCACAGCACCACTTCCATTTTTTTCTTTTCTTTTCTTTCTGGTGGTTAATTGGAGATAAGAGTCTCACAGACTTTTCTGCTCTGGCTGACTTCAAATCACCCTCCTCAGAGCTTAGCCTCCAGAAGAGCTGACAACAGGCCGGTGAGCCACTGGGGCCCGACTTCATCTTCTTGATCCGGGTTTCCTTCCATGTGTCCTGAGCACTGGGATGGACTGCAGCAAAGGGAAATGGAAGAAAGCCCCATTTTGTTTTTGCTTTCCCTTCCAGTCCTGGGGTTTGAACTCAGGGCCTGGGCGCTGTCCCTGAGCTTTTTCCGCTCCACGTTAATGATCTACCACTTGAGCCTCGGCTCCACTTCTGGCTTTATGGTGGTTCACTTAAGACTATGAGTGTCGTGGGCTTGGTGCTCAGGTTGGCTTCGAACTGCGATCTTCAGCTGTAAGCCTCCTGGGCAGCCAGGGTGACAGGCATGGGCCGCAGACCACGGCTCGCCGGCCCCTTCATCTTAAAACGGCCTTGTCAGACTTGAGGTTTCCCCCCCACCCCCAAACCCGGATCCCTCCCTGACCCCGCAGCCGGGCTCGGGCCCGTGATCTGAATCTGGGGGTGCCACCTCGGGCTCCCTACTCACCCCGCGCTGCCCGGTGGTCGGGAGGCCCCGAGGTCAGCTGGGCGGCCACAGGAGGAAGTACGGGGGCGGCGGGGGCGGCGGCGGGGGCGCGGGCCGCGGCCAGGGCTCGCGGGGCGCGGGCGGCGCCAGCAGGCCGCAGGGCGCGGGCCGCGCGGGCAGCGGCGGCAGCGGCCGCGGGGAGGCCTCGCCCAGCAGCGGCGGGCGGCCGCGCGCGCCCACGGGCAGCGGCGCGGCGGCGGCGGCGGCCTCGGGCAGCGGCGGCAGCGGCAGGTGCGCGGGCGGCGGCGCGGGCGCGGGCAGGCGCGGCAGGCCCTGCAGCGCGAGGGCGGCGCGGGGCGGCGCGGGCGCGCAGGCCGCGGGCGGCAGCTCCGGCAGCGCCAGGTGGGCGAGGGGCCCCCACGGAGCCAGCAGCTCGGGCCGCAGCGGCAGCGCGGGCAGCGGCGGCAGCTCGGCCTGGGCGAGCGCCGAGGGCGGCGGGGGGCCCGCGGTCAGGCCGGCCGGGAGCCCCGGCAGCGGGGGGTGCGGCAGCGACGGCCCGGGCGGCGGGGAGGGCGGCAGCGACCCGCGGGTCCGGCCCAGCCGGGGGTGCACGCGGGCGCGGGAGAACCGCGGGTGCGAGCGCGAGCGGGGCAGCCCCGTAGCCAGCTTGGCCGCCGCCGGCCGCCCCAGCGCCCTATCGGCACCGCTCTCCGCGACCTCGGGCCGGGACGCGGAGGCCCGGCGCCACCGGCACCAGCCCAGCCAATTGGAGGCGCCTGACTGGATGCTCCAGCCAATCAGGAACCAGTGCGCCTGTCGTTTCACACACACCCCTCCCCGCTATCCTTAGCAGCCAATCAGAGGCAGCAGCGCGCTTCCGTCACGTGCTCCCGCCCCGCGCGGTGCGGATCTCTGCGTCCCTCCCGTTGCTGAGATCCGGCTGGGTGCACGCGCGGTGTGCGCCCCCACCTGGCCGGGTGGGGTAGCGCTTGCTTTAGTCTGGCCGTCCTGGAGCCCGGGCGGCCCTGCTTTGGTTGCGGTTTACCCTTAGTGACCCGGGGCGATGTTCCTTATAAATCATGGTTTCTGTAAGATAACTGAGTTTTCATTCCAGTTGTCTTATAGAAAAGACCACACAGTTCTGGAGCCGCGTTTGTGGACAGTGGACAGCACTTGAAGTTCCTAAGGGTTGTAAATGACAGACTGGGCGCAGGGGAAGTGGAGGGAGACGAGGGAAAGCGACGGAGGGAGTCTGATCAAGTACACTGTGTCAGGTACGCCTGTGATCCTACCTACTCCAGAGGTGAGTGCTTGCCTGAGAACAGATGTTGCGTTTGTTGAGTTCTCACAGTGTCTCCCTCCCACCTGGGCCCTGGCACACCACCACGTTGGCGTTTGTTGAATGAATGAACGAGATGCTGAGTGGTTGCTGCCAGCCCCTGCTCTCTTCATACCCCAGCCAGCACCTCCGAGGCACCCCGAGGCGATCAAAGAAGCACATTGCATTTATTAATACTTCAGCCAGAGGGAGACCCCACGCCAGGCAGCGCCAGAGACTAAGTTCCCAGGTCCCGCCTTCTTTGCCCTGGGTGCCAGGCGGTGATGCTGAGGCCTGGAGGATAGGCAGAGGACTGGCTCCAGTGCTCATTATTTTCCAAGAGGGTATCAGCCTAGGAAGAGGTAGAGTGAGTGAGCACTAGGGAGAGCAGGGCCCCACTGAGTCCTGCCTCCGGTCAGAGTTCACACTCTAGTTTGAGAGTTTGCTGTCCCACAAACACTGGGAATGTGCAGCTGGGGGGGGGGGGGGGCGGGGACAATGGCGGTGGATCATGTGTTTCTTCTCACCTTCATAGGCATTTTCCAGATGGCTACTGGCACCTGGCTTCACCTCAGGGTCCCCTATTGTACAGAAAACAAATCAGGGGCTCCTGGATCACCAGATAACTTCTGCCTACCCAACTTCCCCCTTGGGTACCAGCAGATTTCACACTCACCAAAGGGCCCCAGACCCAGCTCTGGCCCCCGCTGACCATAGGGTCCTGGGAAGAAGGAAGGACTGAGCTCCATGACCTGCTCTCCTCTGCCTATGTTTGTCCAGCATTCAGGCTGGCACCCACCTGTGCCTCTTCCCTTCTGCCTCCTTCCCTCCATTTTCTCTGCCAAGAGTTCTATCCTTCCCTCTCCACAGGGACGTGGGGTGGACCTGGACTCAGAGCCCTGATTTCTCCTCGACCACACCCCATCCTTCCACATACACCCCATTACCTGGCTGACTCCCAACTCCTGCATATCTGTATCCTGGTTTCATGCCAGCCTCCCAGGGCCGGAGGGCTGGCCAGGCAGAGGCCTGTGGCAGCAGACCTGTAGGGGACAGTTGACATTGGCCACCCTGCACCCCCCACCCCCGTGCTAGACACTTGGGAGGCCCCAGCTCCTCCAGAACCTGGAGGTATGACTTTGGAGTACCCAAGAACCTCCTCTCTATATTTTGTAAGAGATCCTAGTTATTTCTGTCCAGTCTCTGGCCACGTCCCTTCTAACTCACCATTCCGAAAGCCAGTGAGCCCAGGGAATGCTGGAGGAGGAAAGCAGATCAGAGATGACGGGAGTCTCCCTGGCCTACCCTCTCACCCCCATGTTAGCCCTCCAGGTACCTGGTGGTGGGCGGGCCTCAGGGAAAAGCCCAGCGCCTAGAGCTCCAGTCCCATAATTAAAACCTGTAGGAGAGAGGAGAAAGTGGCGCATGGAAGGCCAGAGGACCGGCAGTAGTGACAGGATGTACTGCCCACCTGACTCCGTGTTCAGAGGCAACTTTAAGGTGGCCTCAAAGGCTGCCCCCTCCACCTGAATCACTCTCCCACTTGCCTTTCCAACTACCTCCCTGCCAGCGCCTCCAGGATTTCATCCCCTTAGACAATTTCTGAGCCTGCTTTCTTTCCCCCTGGCTCAGACCATTCTATCATCTTCTGAGGGTGTGAGGTTGCAGCCACCATAATAGCTGAATGAGTAGCAAATGGATGTTGCATAAGTAAGAAAAGAGACGGAGAGATGGAGCTAAAGAGGGGCGCGCCATGGTGGAGATGTCAGCCTGAGCCTGAGCTGGCCACCTAGCAGGGCTCACCGACTTTCTGCAGCCTGAGGCCACCACCAAAGCCTGGGAAGAGAGGAGATCGTGGGTCAGAGATGGCCCCAGCTTTGCCAGGCCTTTTCCTGGGGTGGAGGGAGAAGGAAGAGCAGGAGAAGCCTTCTCACCCGGTTCTGCCCCTGGTCGGTAACCATTGGGAGGCTGGTAACCTGTGAAGAGTGTGGAGGTGAGTGATGGAGGATGGAGACCTCCTCTGGCTCCTTAGAGGCCGAGAACGAATGTAAGGGGCTGCCCCTATCCACAGAGTAGAGGCTAGAAAAAGAAAGCTTAGGAGACAGCAAGAGAAACTAAGGGTCAACTCTGGGAGGAACTTCCTGGGACAGCTGAGCGGCTGAGACGGCCCCACAGCGGAGGGACTGTAGTCTCACATGGAGACAAGCAAGGGCTTGTCCCTCTGAGATACGGGGCCTGGGAACGGACAGACTCACACCTGCTTTCTGAGGTTTCGGTCCCCACTGCACAGCCGGGGTTGGTGCTAGGAAGAAAGTTGGGGGACAGGAGTGAGCCCACACAGGGCTGAGAAGGCTGAAGCCTGCCGTAGAACTACCCTGCCGGAGGGCACTGTCGTCTCTGAGCGTCAGTGTAGGATGGCATGGCGGAGCGGGCCATGGGGCCGGGCCCAGCCCCTCCCAGGGCCAGGGCCTCCAGTGCCCTCCCCCAACCCCCCGCCCCACACTCACCTGGGAACTGGCCGTTCTGTACTGCGGGAGGGGGCTGGGATTTCAGGCCCCAGCCACCCACTTTTTCTGAAGGGACGGCTGGAGTGGGAGGCCTGGGGAGCAGCCGGGGGATGACCCCCCCATGGCAAGGCCCTGAATGGGGGGCGGGAGGCAAGGCGTGGGGAGTGAGCCCCTGGCTGCCAGGGGGCCCTGGTCCACTAAGCTACAGCCTGCAACCCTTGCAGGGGACTTTGTCAGGCTGGAGACCCGAGGACAAGTAGGCAGTGGCGGGCAGGGGGGGGTCCTCCACCTTCCAGCCACCCCCTCCTCCCTCCTGGTCCACCAGCCTGGTCTCAGCAGCCTCACCTGGCTGGGCCGCCAGCCCATTGGCATAACCTGGAGAAGAGCGGGGAAGCGAGGGGCAGGATGCGGGGATGCAGAAGAGATGAGATGTGGGGTCCTCCCACCCCCTCCCAGGCCCAGAGGGAGACAGCCCAGGCCTTGGCACACCCCACGTTCTCCTCGGCTGAGCCCCTGGCCGTGCCCTGGCATGGGCCCTGGGAGGGAGGGCAAGCAGGCTAGGTCCCTGGGGGAGACACCAGCGCAGGCAGGGAGAAGGACCGAGTGGAACTCACCTGGTTTGGGAGGTTTGGTGCCCCGTCCCAGGCCTGGAGAAAGACGGGGGGTGGCAGGCCAGTTGCACCCCTCCCGTCCGCCAGGACCGCCTCTGCCGGTGGTGCCCTGGCCCCTGCCGCCTCCCGCACTGCGCCCGCTCACCTGGCTGAGTGCCTGCATCAGCGAAGGCCCCGGCTCCCAGCCCGTTCCTGTGCCCTGCGGAGACAGAGTGGGGTTGGGAAGGGAGGGGCTTTTAGGGGTAGTAGGGAGTTTCTGGGGGTGTTGTGCCCTCCCCAGTGCCTTAGAGAAGTGCTGGTGAGTAGTTCGGAGCCCATGATGCCTCCTCGGACCCCAGGCCCCCAGCCTCCCACCACCAACGGGCACTGCAGGGCAAGCGGCCCACAGCAAGAGGCTGAGAGGCACAAGGGCGTTTTTCGGTTCTGGTGGGAGTGGGGGGCAAGGAGGGGGGCTCAGACCGGGCCACTCCCTCCCCAAAGGGAGCCCTGGCTTAGGTGGAGAAGAAGAAAAGGGTCAACCAGAAACCTGGGGTACCAGAGACACCTGGGGTGCGCACGCAGGGGTGCAATCCCCCCCGCAGCGCCTCTCATCTGTCTGCACGCCCAGCCCGCGCCCAGGTCCTGGCAGCACAACGGGAGGCGTGGGGAGGGCAGGACTCAGGGCTGGGGACGCAACAGACACAGGGCTCACCTGGTTTCTGGGGCTTTGTGTCCCCTCCATAGCCTGCAGGAGAGAGGGAGAAGGTAAGGGGCGAAGGGCGAGGAGCTCCCCACCTCTGGGGGTGCTCAGACCCCGGACTCTGCCCCTACCTGGGCTGTAGCCGTTTCCCGCGGTAGGAGCTGTGGGGAGGTGAGGAGGAAGCTGCAGCTGGGCGGGGAATGAAGCCCCAGCCCCGTCTAGGGGGGCTCGCGGGGTCCCCAGCCCCCCCACGGGCCCCTTTCCCCCTCAGCTTCCATTCACTATGAAGCAAGGGCTTCTCCTCAGAGCTGGGCACAGCCCCCCCATGCACAGGGGCAGCAGGGACGAAGGGACACGCAACGGCCTCTCACCTGGCCCCTGAGGCCGCATGCCCACTCCTAGGCCTGGAGCGAGGCAGAGAGAGGCCATTGTGGGTGGGGCAGCCGCCGGAACCCCCAGACTCCAGCCCTCCACCTGCCCAGGCCCCCGGGCCAGCCACACACACCTGGCCAGGCTCCCAGTCCATTCCCGTGACTGTATCCTGGGGGGAGGAGGTGTGGCGGGGGGGTTCAGGAGGAGGCAGCTCAGGGACAGGAGTTTGGGGGTAGGGGGTGTCTCTCTTGGGCCTGTGGTGATGCCAAAGCTGAGCCCCAGCCCCAGTCCAGACCCCTCAGCCTCCCCAAACAGACTCAAAGCATGGGAGGCAAAGGGGAGCAGGGGAAGCACCCCAGTCCCTGCGCCCCCCTGCGGAGAGGGAGGGAGGCATGATGGGGTGTATGGCCAGAGACAGAACCAGGCAAGACTCACCTGGCTTCTGGGGTTTTGCTCCCCCTCCAAAGCCTAGCAGAAAATGGGGGAGCAGGTAAAGCACCCCAGAACGACAGAGCCAACCCAGAGCTCCAAGCACCTTTTGCAGCTATTCTGAGAACAAGGATGTGTGGGGGAGGGGAAGGGGGAGGGGAGGGCAGGGGAAAGGAGGGACCCATGCCAGGTGTCACCCCCAGGGGCTTGAGGGTCAGGCATTCTGAGACTCCCCAAGCCCCCTCCTCTGAGGCTGGGGAGGGAGGGGGCTGCAGGCATGCCGAACCCCCAGACAGCACTCCTACCTGGCTGGGCTCCAAGCCCATTCCTGCTCCCAAATCCTGGGGCACGGAGGCAGAGGGGTGTGGGTGAGGGGAGGGGGCTCAGGGTGGGGGAGGGACAGACAGGCTGGGGCGGGGCTCACCTGGTTTCTGGGGCTTCATGCCTCCTCCGTATCCTGGAAAGGAGACAGGGAGCAGGTGAGGGACCTGGGGTCCCCATCTCCAGGCCTCCCTCAAACCCAGCTCTGTCCTCACCTGGTCCGTAGCCATTCTGAGAGGCAGGGCCTAGGGAGGGAAAGGAAGGGGCTCTGAACCCCGGCTGGTGGTCACGGGCTCTGCCCTTCTCCCTTTCTGCCCCAAAGGAGCCGGTCCCTGAATAGCCAAATCCTGCCCACACGGTGGACAATTACCTCTCCTGGACCTCTGCCCCTCCCCTCTCCCACTGGCTCTGCTGACCCCGCCCTCTCTGGCCTTCCCCCCTTCTCCCTGCCCCTCGCTCTCTTGACTGGACTCCCAGGAAGGTGGTGACTCCTGGCCTTCACCTCCCTCTTGGGAGCCCTGGATGCCACATCTGGCTGCTGAATCCTTGGATGTCACAACCAGTGAGGAAGACAGCCTTCTACCTCACCAACACTCGCTAGACCTATAATTCCTGAACTTGGGAGGTAAAGGCAGGAGAATGGCTGTGTCCAGGCCAGCCTGAGCTATGGAGTGAAACTGTCTTAAAAAAGGGGAGGGGGGGCTGGGCGCCGGTGGCTCACTCCTGTCACCCTAGCTACTCAGGAGGCTGAGATCTGAGGATCACGGTTCAAAGCCAGCCCGGGCAGGAAAGTCCATGAGACTCTTATCGCCAATAAACCACTAGAAAACCAGACGTGGCGCTGTGGCTCAAGCGGTAGAGCGCTCACCTTGAGCTGAAGAGCTCAGGGACAGCGCCTAGAGAGACTGTCAGGCTGGCCTATCAGCGCCTCCGCCCCGGGAGCCCCGCCCACTCAGAACCCAGGCCTCACCTGGTGGAGTTCCAGCTCTGAGGAGGGCACCGGCCCCCATCCCGTTCCCATTCCCCAGCCCTGGGGAGACAGAGCAAAAGGGGGTCAAAGGGGGAATCTGGGCCCAGGAGACGCACGGGCAGACTGAAGGAAGATGGATACGAGGAGGACCTCACCTGGCTTCTGGGGTTTTCTGCCCCCTCCAAAGCCTGGGGGAGAGATGAACAGGTGAGGGTCCATCTTTGGGTATCCCCTGGAAACTCAGCCCTGGGCTGCCCCCTCCACCCTCACACCCTCTACACTGATTGGCACTGCAGGACCGGATGGGGTGGGAGGGGTGGGAGGGGGAACAGGGCCCCTTGGGCCTGCCCGCCAGTCTTGTGAGTCCCTTTCAGTCCTGATCGAGGCCTTCGATTGGACCTTTCGTTCTCAGCCCGTGGACTGAGCTTTCAAGCCCAGCCTGGCACAGGGGTAGACCCTGGGGGCGGGGTGGGCTGGGGGCTGCCCTCACCTGGCTGGACACCCAGGCCGTTTCCATTGCTGAGTCCTGGAGGGAAAGTGGGGTGTGAACAGACCAAGAGCGGACTTCCAAGCACAAGCCCACCCGTGGCGTCTGGGGCTCCCTGCCAGCCCCCAAGCCTGAGTGGAGACCCGGAGAGGCTGAGCCACGAGCAGAGCCCCCCTCCCCCAACTCCTCAGTCTCCTTCTGGAGATGGCCTCTGACCTCCCCTAGATCCTCCCCCTCCCCGGTTTCGGCCTGGTGCCCTCACCTGGCTGGGCTCTGCCTCCGGGGAAGGCCGGGGCTTGCATCCCATGCCCATTGCCTTTGGGAGTCAGACAGGAAGGAGCAGGGTCAGGCCAGGCCTCGCCGCGCAAGGGTGTGGACGGGACGCTGGCACGGGCCGGGCCAAGGGCCACTGCTGTGAGGTTTCCCACCTCCTCCCATGCCGGAGGAAAGGATGGGGACCAAGCTCCGCAGAGCCCCAAACCCTCACACACGCCCCCCTTCCCCTACCTGGCCCATGGGCTGCGGGGAGACAGAGGCAGAAGCTGGAGCCCGGCTGGTATGAGACCAGTCACGGTAGTCTAGACAGTAGTCTACACAGCTTCGTGTGAGTGTGTGTGTGTGTGTGTGTGTGTGTGTGTGTGTGTGTGTGTGTGTATGTGCGCATGCGCAGGTGCACACTCCTGGAATTCAGGGCCTGGGCACTGTTCTCAATTTTTTAGGCTGGTGCTCTACCACCTGAGCCACAGCTCCACTTCTGGCTTTCTACTAAGTCAGTTGCAGGTGAGTCTCCCAGACTTTCCTGCTTGGGACTGGCTTCAAAATGTGATCTTCAGCCAGGCGCTGGTGGCTCACGCCTGTAATCCTAGCTATTCAGGAGGCTGAGATCTGCGAATGGCAGTTCAAAGCCAGCCCGGCCAGGAAAGTCCTCGAGACTCATGTCTCCAACAAACCACCAGGAAATGGGAAGTGGAGCTGTGGCTCAAGGGATGAGCTGAAGAGCTGAGGGACAGCACCCAGGCCCAGAGTTCAAGCCCCAGTGCCCGCTGGAGCCAGTTCATGTGGTATTCTCCCTACAGCAGGCCTCTGTGACCCAGGCAGCTCTTCCCTCCAGAAATATGCCCAGAGAACAGCCTGGAACATGCCTGCCCAGGGCTGAGACCATGTCTCAAAAGGCCAAGCACAGGACCAGTCTCTACAAACATAATGCAAACCGAGGCAGAGATGGGCCAGGAAGAGTCAGCCATAGAGATCATCATGGGGGCGGGGCGGGGCCTCCGCTCACCTGGCTTCTGAGGCTTCACGCTCCCACCTAGGCCTAGATGAGAAAGAAGGAGATTTATCAGGGACTCCCGGCCACCCCTCCCCCAGGGCCGCCCCCACCCCAGCCATTCTCCACTGCCAGGACTCCCCATCCCTGGAAAAGTACTGACGCCCAAACTAGTTCTGCCCTCAAAACCTGGGGAGACTGTGGCGGGGGCTAAGCCATGGGGTGCACAGGCCTGCGGTGGGGGACACAGATAGAAACGGGCAGGTCTAGAAGACATGGGAGGCTGAACCCCTGTCCTCCCTCCAGAAGCAGCCCCCGGCCCTGGGTGTTCCCGCCGGCCTCACCTGGCTGGAGTCCCGGCCCTGGGAAAGGCCCGGCTCCCTGTCCTGGAGGGCAGAGCGGATGGAAGAATGAGCAGGCGGCTAGGACTTGGGACAGAGGGACAGGCACGCGGCGGACACTTACCTGGTTTTGGGGGCTTCGGACCCCCTCCAAACCCTGGGGAGAGAGATGGAGGAGCTATGGGGGTGCCAGAGGACCCAGCCTCCTCCGGGGCACCTCGTTTCACAGCCATTCTGAGCAGGGGGGTCTGAGGGGAGCGCTAGGGGGTGTCCGGGGCTTTTGTCTCCTCCCCAAACCCAACACCAGAACCCCCCATCCCCGTCCTGTCCCCCTTCATGGAGTCCCCAGTTCTGCCCTCCTCAGGGCCTCCCCCACCTCTGCCAGCGCCCCACCTGGCTGCAGGGCAGCTCCGGGGAAGGCCGCCGCCTCCGGCCCGCCGCCATGCCTGTGCCCAAAGCCTGCGGAGACAGGGAAGGGCAGTCAGGGAGGGGTGAGGGGGCCGGGGCAGGGTCCCAGGGGACTCACCTGTCTTCTGAGGCTTCACTCCTGCTGCAACCCCTGCAGACGAGACAAGGGTCAGCCCCGGGCTGAGGGGTCCCCCCCCACCCTGGTTCTAGGCTTCCCTTGGCTGCTCTTTACCTCCTCCATAGCCATTCTGAGCCGGAAGGCCTGAGGGGAGAAGGGGAGAGGCGGGAGGTGTGGGGCCCCACGGGGGCCTTAGATTCCTCAGCCAGAACCCAGCAAGCCTGCAGGGCTCCCCACCTCCCTCCAACCTTCAGTGGTCCCGTCCCTCCCCTCTGAGGCGGGGCGGGGGTGGGGTGGGGGGCAGGCAGGGAGAGGACACCTGGGCCCTGACCCTCCCTCCTGGGTGCTCTCCCCCCCCCAGTCTCACCTAGTTGGGCTCCCAGACCGTTTCCGTTCCTGAATCCTGGGGGACAGAAGGAGGAGTGTGAGCTGGGAGATGGCACCGAGCAGGGACAGAGCTCCCCTGACTTCTGGGGCCGAGTGTGCCTGGAGGACATGTGGAGGCCACACAGGACCCCCTGTGTTTCTTCTCCTCTCTCTTCTCGGTGCTGGGATTTGAACTCATGACCTGGAGCTTGCTAGGCAGGCGCTCTACCCTCCATTCCCCCAGCCCTTTCTTGCTTTCCTTATTTTTCACGTAGGATCGTGCATTTTTATCCTAGATGGCCGCAGACAAATCTTCCTACCCTGCTTCTCACATAGCTGGAATTACAGATGTGAATCAGCATGTCTGGCTTGTTGGTGGAGATAGGGTCATGATAACATTTTGCCCAGGCTGGCTTGGAACCCCAGTCCTCCAGATCTCTGCCTCCCCTGTTTCCGGGTTTACAAATCTGCATCTCCACACCCGGCCCATGGCCCCCACGGTAACTGCTGCTGCCCTGCTCCCCCTTTGTGGGGGAGAGAGACCAGAAGTACCCCACTCCCTGCCCCCAGACTCCCCCCTTCTGCCCTCACCTGCTCCAAGACCACTAGGGGAGCCATAGCCTGGGGGGAGGGAAATGAGAAGTTTAGCTTTTGGGGGACTGGGGCGGTGAGGGGGAGAAGGGGAGAACTCAGGAGTGTCAAGAAGGGTCAAGTGTGCAGGCCACCTTCCCTCTCTGGGCCTGTTTCCCCACTGGTCACAGGAGGGGTGAGGATAGACCAGGTGTGTAGTCTGAAGGTAGCACAGAGAAAGGCATCTCAGCTGTACCCCAGGGGGTCGAGGGCAGAGTCCATTCACCCCCTTCATCACAGCCCACACCTCTCCCTTCTGATTCTTTTTGTTTTGTTTTTTGTCAGTCATGGGGCTCAGCACCAGCTCGGACCCCTTCCATCTGTCCTCCCTACCAGTAAGTGGACTGACAGTCAGGAGACAGGGTCCCGGGGCCGAGGAACGTCCAGGACAGGCCCAGCGAGCTCCAAGATCCTCCGGGACCCCAGGTGTCCAGAGGAAGGGCTTACCTTGTCCCAGGCCAGGAGAGATTGGGGGCAGCCCTGGGGAAGTGAGGTATGCTGCTCAGGACTAGGCCTCAGAAGCTGAGGGGCCCATCCCCTCAGAACCCCGAGCGCTCCCCGTCTGAAATCTCCAGCCCAGGCCCCCCATGACCCAACTCTCTCTGGACTTGGAAGCCCAGCGTGCGGTCCATGCGCTCTGTGACCCTCCTCGGCCCCGCCTCCTGCCCTCACCGCCTTGCTGGCTGTCAGGAGTCAGGCAGAGCAGCAGAAAGGCTGTGCAGGCCCAGGTGCCCATGACGCCAGTGGGAATGGGAGGGCTGGGCAGCCTTTGGGTTTTTAAACACCCCTGTTAGTGGGGGCCCTCGCCCGGGCCCCCCAGCCGTGAGGGGTGGGAGCTTTCTGCCTATAGACCCCAGGAGGCCAGTTCCCCACCTTCCCCAGCAGCAGGGAAGTCATCTGGCCTCCCGGACCTCCTCTCTGCACACTCCTCATCCATCATGGGTGCTGACAGCTAAGAGAGGGCCTCCACCTGTCCCCCCCTCCCAGGGCTCCTCCACCCCTGTCAGTGATCGGGCCCTGGCGCCAGGCCTGGAGGGCTCAGATGTCCCTCAGCAGCTGGCAAGGGGCACGCTGGCACCCCAGGCCCAGCCCAAACACAGCTGGGGAGAGACAGAGTGGGAGCCAGGGCCAGAAACGTGGGCGTCACTGGCACTGAGCTCAGAAAGAGTTACTGTGCTATGCAGGGAGACAGCGGGGAGCTGCAGAGGCCAGGGAAGATCAGAAGCTGTCTGACAGGTGGAGGCTGTCCTCAGGGATCCCGTCTGATCCCAACATCTCCTCCTGGACCACACAGGAGACAGGCCTTTTGTCCTGGATGGGCAGGATGGGCTCTGAGAGACCCCAAGCCTTCAACCTGAGTCATACATCTCCTCCCATGAGCAACACACACACACACACGCACACAGATGGATCACCTTGTACTCAGGCTGTCCAAGAGTCCTGTTGTTCTTGAAAGTGTACAGACTCAGGGTGTGCTGCTTGGGATGGGTGGGGGCTGGCTGCAGAGTGGTGCTTGGGGTCTGGGCGCAGCCCTCACACTTTGGGGGAAGGTGGAGGGGCCTGGAGCCGGGCTGTGTGCAGGGGGTCTGGCAGGCAGGGAGGAGGAAAGCTGGGGGGAGGGTGTCTAGACATCAGGCGCCAGGCCTCTCCAGACCCAAGGAGAGTCTGCGGACCCCACGGAGCTGGCTGCAGCTAGCACCGACTCAGCCCCCAGCCCCCAGGTCCAAGTCTAGAAGGCCCCCACCCTGCCTGTCTGCTGCCCCTCCAGGAGCTGTTGGCTGAGGAAGGCAGCCTGCCCAGGCCTGGTAGAGTAAGGGTCTAGAAAACACCTTCAGTAGCTGGGCGCCGGTGGCTCACGCCTGTCATCCTAGCTACTCGGGAGGCTGAGATCTGACAATCCCAGTTCAAAGCCAGCCCAGGCAGGAAAGTCCATGAGACTCTGATCTCCAATAAACCACCAGGAACCAGAAGTGGCTCTGTGGCTCAAGTGGTAGAGCGCTCGCCTTGAGCTGAAGAGCTGAGGGACCAACCGAAAAATAAAATAAAACACCTTCAGTGAGGGACAGAGCCAGTCTTGGTGTGGAACCCCTGAGTCCACTACAACTACAGGCCATCCCAGCCGCCAGCATATGGGAGGGCTAATGCAGCACCCTCATTCCAAGGCCAGCTCCCTAACACCACACCTCACCTCCCTCCTGGCTCCGCCTCCCCAGCAGCTCAACCCAATTGTGGTCATCTCTCCCCCCACACAAGAACTCAAACCCAAGGGCTGGCAAGGTGGCTCAGTGGTAGAGTGCTTGCCTTGCATACATGAGGCCCTGGGTTCGATTTCTCAGCACCACATAAGCAGGGGAAAAAATCCGGAAGTGGTGCTGTGGCTCAAGTGGGCGCTAGCCTTGAGCCTAAGAGCTGAGGGACAGCGACCAGGCCCAGAGTTCAGGCCTACGACTGGACCAAAAAAAAAAAAAGAAACTTATGGGCTGGGAAGGTGGCTCAGTGGTAGAGTGCTTGCCTTGCATGCCTGAGGCCCTGGGTTCAATTCCTCAGCACCACATAAGCAAAAAGAAAAAAGCCGGAAGTGGTGCTGTGGCTCAAGTGGTAGAGCGCTAGCCTTGAGCTGAAGAGCTGAGGGACAGCGCCCAGGCCTAGAGTTCAGGCCCCATGACCAGACCCAAAAAAAAAAAAAAAAAAAAAAAAGAACTCAAACCCACAGTTATGTGCACAGCCAGCTCCAGGGCATCTCTCACCCACCTTTTCTTTCCTTTTTGTCAGTCGAGGGGTTTGAACTATGGGCCTGGGTACTGTTCTCAGTTCTTCAGCTCAAGGTGAGCACTCTACCATTTCAGCCACAGCACCACTTCTGATTTGCTGGTGGTTTATTGGAGATAAGAGTCTCACGGATTTTCCTGCCTGGGTTGGCTTTGAACCGTGATCCTCAGATCTCAGCCTCCTGAGTAGCTAGGATGGCAGGGGTGAGCCACCGGCGCCCAGCCCCCACTCAGCTTTGCAGGACGCCCCTCTGCTGACCCCCTGCAGTCCAACGCCCAGCATGCCACCTCCTTCTCTGCCTCACAGCCAGGAGGTTGGATTTCCCAGCGGTCACTGCGAGGGACACAGGGGTGGCCCCTACCCCCGCCACTGCCGGAGGCCAGGATGGCTAGGGGGGGGCCTTCCTGCCAACCCACCTGCGCCTGCCCCTTGGCCACGGCCATGGCTTCCTGGTCTCCCCACCTCCCCACCAAGGCAGCTGAGTTTCCTGAGGGTTATCAGGCTTGCCGCTGGGTTGAAGAGAAGTTCAGATGCCTACTTGATCTGGCTTGGCACCTTGGGCAGGAACCCAGCCTTCCTGGACGTCCCTCCTTTAAGGGGTGCGGTGAGGGGTGATGGTACGAGCCCCTCGGGCAGGGGCTATAAAGACATCCTTGTTTCACGGGGGGGGGGGGGGGGGGTGGGGGGTGGTGGTGGTAAGAGAGGCAGAGGGAAAACATTCATGTGGAGGCTGTGACTCCTAAGTGGATGGAGGCTGAATCCAGGCAATCCAAAAGGCCAAGTCTACTCATTGGGTAGTTTTTTTGTTGTTGTTTGTTTCATGGTGCAGGTACTGGGTCTTGAACTCAGGGCTTGGGCACTGTTCCTGAGCTATTTCGCTCAGTTGAACTCCACTTGGTGCTTTTTGCTGGCTAATTGGAGATAAGAGTTTCACAGACTTAACCTGCTTACTTTGAACCATGATCCTTAGACTCCAGCCTCCTGAGTAGCTGAGATTTCACAGCGCCCTGTTCTTAGGTGCTCTGCCTACTTGGTGCAGGCTCCAAGCCAGGTGCCTTGAGACCTGAGATGATAGCCAGGGTCTCCCTACACAGCCCGGAGGCCCAGGAGTACAGCCATGGAGGGATCATGCACGGGATGTCAGGAAAGCTTGGCCAGGAAGAGGCAGACAGGGAGACGCAGAGGGGCTACACGGGAGGTCCAGGCCCAGTGCTTGCTTAGCCACTGCCAGGCTGCCGGGGTGCTGGCATGGACCTGTGGAAAATGCCAGACAGCCAGGGCTAACTCAACAGCCGCTTAAGACCAGCAAATCACCATTCTCACCCCCAGCACAGCCAAGCCCTCAGCTCACCCACACCCAGTTCCACCCAGGCTGGGTCAGCCCGAGAGCACAAGACCTTGGTGCCTAGAAAGCCCAAGGCAGAGCCCTGGCCTGGGCTATCGGGTATGGTGGCCTAATGAGGACACGGGTCTTGCTGAGTGCCGGAGGGCTCAGGCCTGTAATCCTAGCCAGGAAACCGGAAGTGGTGCTGTGGCTCAAGTGGTAGAGTACTTGTCTTGAGCTGAAGAGCTGAGGGACAGCGCCCAAGCCCAGAGTTCAAGTCCCATTAAAAAAAAAAAAGAGGACATGGGTCAGGCTCTGAGCCACTCGGAGGGGCTGGGTTGGGACCCAAGACAAAGTGACAGCTGGGTTGGTGGAAGTGTAGGACAAAGGCCCAGGAAGTATACTGCCTAAAATGGCACTGCCGGTGTCAAAGGATCCTCAGCCAGCTGCTGGGCCCCTGTGAGGGTGGGAACTGGGGGGACAGCTGGAGGGGGGACAAGGCGCCTGGGGGCAGACGCCTTCTGCACCCGCAGCTGTGAGATGTCGCCTGGCCTCCCACCCCCGCTCTGCCCCCACGCCACCTCCCTCTGGACAGCCCTTTAGCCAGGCCTGAGCTTCAGCTTCAGCCCCCGGCGCACCTGCCTGGCCGTTCCCCAGGCCCTGGCCAGGTGCAAGGCTTGACCCCCTTCTCCCCACCCACCCGCCAGTTCACTGAAACCTCAGGCAAGTGTGAACTACAGACTCCGAGAAGCACACCCACAAATGTACAGCAGAGCAAATACTTAGCCACCAGAGCAGAATGTGGCCAGTCCTCAGAAGCGCCCGTGATTTCCCCTGTTGGTTTTGTTGTCACTTTATGCTGTCTGTGGTCCCGTCAGGCTCTGCCCCCACCCCCTACCCTGAAGTCCCAGGTGCTGTTGCAGCCAGTGGACACACGGGGGCGCACGGGGCCTGCCGAGCCTGGAGGGAGGGTGGGATCCTGTGAATCCAACAGCTGGGCACGGTTCCCAGAGTTCCCTGGACCCAGAGCTTTGGTTCTGACCCCTGAGATCACAGGCCTCCGCCTCTGTGACCTGGGGTTTGTGTGGTTCCTGGACCCTCTCCAGTGGCCTTCTTTTGGTCCTGGCAGCTGTCTTGAAAACTGTAAAACATTGGGCTGGGAAGGTGGCTTAGTGGTAGAGTGCTTGCCTAGCACAGGTGAAGCCCTAGGTTCGATTCCTCAGTACCACATACACAGAAAAAGCCGGAAATAGTGCTGTGGTTCAAGTGGTAGAGTGCTAGCCTTGAGCAAAAGAAACTCACAGACAGTGCCCAGGCCCTGAGTTCAAGTCCCAAGACTGGCAAAACATAAAAAGACAAAAACAAAATCATTCAGATGGTCAGGTAGGTTACTGTTATTAAGCAAGAAGACACTGATTGTGTGCTTGTGCACATTCATTCTCCTAGGCAGTGCTCCTGCCTGAAAGGAGGGAGCAATTTTAGTCTCCTATTTTACACATGCCGAGGTTGTGGCACGAAAGGAACCCAGTTCGGACTTTCCCTGCACCACAGCCAGAATCCAGTACCACATTACATTTATTAGAAGTGTGATTTTAAATGCATTTTTGTTTTGGTTTTTGGCTTGCTTTCTTCTTTTAGGGCTG